AAAAAAAAAAAAATTTTTTTTTTTTTTAAAAATTTAAATTTTTTGCCCAATTTTTTAAAAAAAAAAAAAATATATATATATATATATATATATATATATATATATATATATATATATATATATATAGAACGGTTTCCTCTGATAAAAGGGAGCTAAATGTCATAGCTAAATGTTTAGATTAAAAGAATCATCTACACCTCTCAATAAAATGTGACGCATCAAATGAAATGAGTGAATTTAAAGAATGATAGTAAAATGTAGCAACAGCTACAGATGTCTAGTTCGCCTTGACAAGCAAAAACAGGAAAATCTTTTTCCTTCCAGGCTTTCAGGAAGGAATTCAGCGAGTGAAGCCAAGAAAAACACGACCAGCTGCCAAACTCCTTCAAGAGTCATCTTGAGGGGAAAATAACACAAACCTTCAGGTGATTAATCTCAGCCTGACAACGCTGTGCCCAGATTGTTCAACTCTTTAATGCAAATGTAATCATTTAGATCGCTCCTTTATGATCATGTTATGGGTTAATAATGTGGCTGCTGAAGCTTTCTTCTGTTTTTGTTGCGATTCTTTACATGTGAGGGCGAGAAATTAATTCTGAACTGTGATTATGAGCGTAGAACCTGTCGCTTGTTCTTCTGTTACAAAGAAGCAATTCAAGTAACAGCCTTTTAGTCAAAATGAAAAGAAGCGATTCTTTTCATTGAATCGCTTCTTAAATAATACTCACCATATTTATTTGTTATGAAATGCACCTTGCTGCTCATATTAGTCTCATTGTCGCCTGTGGCCTGAACCCTGACATTGTAGTGGGTGTTTGGTTTCAGGTCCTTCAACCAAACTCCATCTTCACTACCACTCACAGAAACATCTAGAAGAAAACCGTTCTGTTAGGGTCATGAGTGTTGTCTTTAAAAAAGATGTAAAAACATTGGGGGCAACTTACTGTGCTGGAGTCCCTGTGCTTCATAAAAGATTGTGTAAGTATCAACATCATTGCATGGGTTCTGTGACTTCATGTGCCACTTCACAAAGGCACTTTTATCGTCAACTTCCTCAACTTTGACATCAATGTCCTCTGGAACTGCAGGAATAACATTTTCAAAATTGTCAATAACCACAAAAACAATGGGATTCCTCTGCAACTTGCAAAGAGACGCTTTGGTGGCGGTGGGGGTATGTAAATACTTGAGCTTGGATGCATTTAAAAAGTCCACAGTAAATACTTTTTCAGTGACTGGGGTTTCATTTTGAGTAATTATTACATCTTGAATCTCTCAGTGAAGACCCAACTTAACATTCATTCTGGTGATGAGTGTATGCAAACTTCTTAGTGGTACCAATCACATATGTATGTATATTTTGTGCTAATGAAAAATTAATTTGACTTTTACCTCCCATACTGGAGCAGAACGGATTTGCGTGGATGCTGTGCCCCGAGATGTTATTGAAAAGAGGCGTTACTGTAATACTGTATAGTGTTCTGTGCAACAGGCCTGCAGAAATAGACAAAAAATATACATATAAATTGAAACTGAAATGACAAGAAAATGTCGCAACACCTGTAAGGTACATTCGATGACCAAGTAAAGCTGGAAAAATGAGTTTCAAAAAAGTGAAACAAAATAAAATAAAATTACAGCTTAATACATACATGCATCTTATCAGTGCAACGAAAACAAATGGCTTATAATATGAGTCATGCAGGAAGAGACTAGATTTTCTTGTAAAAACATCATCTCATGAATATCAGAAGTCAATCTTCTCAATAAGCCCATCTAAATTGATCAAATCTTCCATGGAAATGCATTACGTAACAGCCTTTAATATGAAATTCCATTAATGAGTCCATTATATTCTCCACTGAGTCAATAATAGATACGCCATTAACTGATTTAATGGCTAAAGTCCTCACACACTTTGATCCATCCTCAAAGTGTGTGAGGATGGATCGCTCACGCACTTTGTCCTTAACACACACTCTAACCTACCAAACAGAGTTGCATTAGTAAATGTGGTCTCCTTCCAGAAGTACCGACATCCATCATGTGTCCAGTCAATTATGTAACTACTGACGGGTTTCTCTGATACGTTCCAGCTGACCTGAATAACGCCTCTCATTCTACTTTTTGTTGTTTTGATGCTCCAAACTTCAGGAAGGCTCGCTGATGATATGAAGACAGAAACAACCAACTAGTCAAGAGACAGGATAAAAATCTTGTTGTTGTTTAAATGTCTACATGTAGCAGTAAAAACTCACCATCTCCAACGGCTGGAACATAAATCGAGTCGAGCAGCGCGCCGCTGTCGGAAACGGTGAGATATAATCTGTGTGAACGGTGGTCCACATCGACATCACAAGATGAGCTGCCACATGAAGTATAGGTGTAATTTCCTGTGGTTGTGTTGTCATTGTATGCAACCTGTTTGACTGCGAATGCCTCTCTACATGTTGAAGGAATGCCCTGGTTTAGAAAGAAGCATGAAATGTTAGACAATGATCCACTTCCAACAAATATTCTCAAAACATTTTTCCTCCTTTCTGTACCTTCCACATGAGATGAACTTTTCTCTTTCCGTTTTTTCCCAGCTCAGCCACCTTTCTCCAAAGTCCCATCCTGATGCGGCTCCCTAAAAACGGTTCGTATAAGTTTGAAATTAATCACGCTTCAACAGAAGGGCAAATGCAAAATTTATGCTGGATTATTTTCATCTCGAGCCAAGAAAAGAGAAAGCCGACGTTCACACCTTGAACTAAGTCCAAAACCACCTCGTTGTCATAGCGACAGCTGTAAAGAAACTGCAATCATGCCTTGAATCAACTGTAAAGCCATGGCTTTCCAAGAAGTGGTTGCAGAATGAAAACGTGGAATGTAAACACATCCTTAAAAGCGTTTAACCTCAACATCTGTGGCTAAACTATGTGGGTAGAACCAAATCTGTTAACATTCAACATGTTTGCGGCTTCGTCAGCATTAAGAATGAATGTGAAATTTGGTAAGATTTAAAAGTCAAGTGACAAATCTCTGCAGTCAAGTCTGATCCTGTGACTTGAGTTTGACTAATTACACGAACACTTTAAAGACGGTTTGGGAATAAAAAGACATGAATGATTTATGTACAGTGTCATCCTGACGTTAGCACACCCTTTTTTTTTTTTTAACCAGACCACACAGTAGGTCAAATAGTTGTGCATAATTGTGAAGTGAAAGAAAATGTATCCTTTGTATGCATCCATTGCTGCAATTACAGCTGCAAGTTTTATGGAGTACGTCTCTCCACCGACTTTGCACTTCTAGATACTGAGGCGGGAATTTACAAAACATTGCAACCTTCTCCTTTTTCGCTTTCATTATTTTGCTTTAATTCTGCCCAGGATTCACAAAGCAGACTGTAATCTGCACGTATTTCGGGCACAAGTGTCTGGGGGAATGATTTCTCCCGTTTTTGTAAAGCCAACAGATATGTATGTTTTTTTTCTCTCTCTCTTTTTATTCCACTTTTACAAGAACGTTTACCAGATCATATTGTCTCTGCACAATCCACAAATATCCAAAAAAATGTGGACTTTAGCAGTTATTTGCTCCACTTGTAATTTACATAGATAATGCCTCATTGCACTGTGGGCACAGAGACACAGACACTGTTTGCTTGATGAAGTTACTTCACAAACAAATCAGCTTTTGCATCTGGTTTCAGAATTGGACATGAACTCGGGTTTGAATCTGTTGCTAAAATTCTTTCATGTTTCTTTTCCTGATGTTCTTAACTTGCTTAATTTATTTAAATATTGCTCTTACTGCTCAGTTTGGTGAGAGCAGTCTTCTCCGTGCTCCACTCGCTCCAAAGTCCCCTTTCAGAGGCACATCGGACTGAAACGTTGTAGTTAATGCAGGATTCCACTTCCTCAATAGTGGCACTGAATCGATTTGTCCACAAAACCTGCAGCAGAAGAAGAAATTATATCGTTTGGTGAGAAAAAATGGCTACAAAAAAATGCTAAATCTTAGAAGCTCATAGCTGTAAGCAATGTTAAAAATGTATTGATCAACACTTTAGTGATTTGGTTAGTTTATAGTCTATGCATTTAGCTTGTTATTGCTTGTCAGCATTTTTAGGAAATAAATGCTGTGAAAGCGAAGAAAGCATTTATCATGTTAAAAGGTATTTTTGTTACTTTGCAATCTGTAAGTCGTAGAATACAAAGCAGTAGATTGAAAATGATGTTTTCTAAGGTTATCTGTCTTTCATTACAAAATGTGTTTGATGACATGAGTATGATATAGCTGTGACAAAAAAGCAACAAGCAGAAAAAAAATACTGCCAGGGGTATACGATATTTTTCAACGACTGTACATACAACTAAAATAAGTATTTCTGTAAGGAAATAGTCATGAATTATCACAGATCCCATAAAAAGACAAAGTGTTCTTTTTCTTCTTTTTTTTTTTTTACCTCTGGGGCTTTGTCAGGCTCTGATGTCTGAAACAAACAAGACAGAAAATGTCTAAATGAGAAAAACAAATTGGTGCTTTAGAAAAACATTTTCAAAACCAAACCCAGCTACGAGTTTCCAAAATGCAGATTTGCATAATCAATTATATATCCGGACAACCCTGCTGTACGTGCAGCAGATGGCTTCTGCTCGCTGCAAGTGGGAAACAGGACCTAGCATGTAGGTTCTAGTTTTTATGTGGGAAAAGTAGTCCCAGTTAACCAAATTACCCTGCAGTTCAACAAGGTTTCATGAATCTTTTGTGATGCTTCAAATAAATTAAAACATTTATCACCAGCATGAACACGTTCGCATCAAATAAATGCATTGTGTCAACACATCTTCAACTTCTTCTATTGCATTTTTCAACACTTTGTCCCCATAATGGGGACACATCCGCATATTACCACACCAGCTGAGCTAATTTATTTCAACCTCCCTTTAACCACAATGTTGTAAGATCTGTAAAGTAGAAATGAACAAATATTAATAATTTACCTAAAATGCTCTGTGCAGGTAACAAATGAGTAGCTTCACATATGACTAACTCTAAGAGCTTTGTTTTCAAGGTTTTGTTTGCTTCATTTGGCACCCAAGAAATTATTCAATGGTCTTATTACTTTATGAAGACCATTTATTTTATTATTTAGCCACAAATAACTGCATTACCTAATTCAGACTTTTAGTTAATACATCAACAAGAGCCAAAACCAAATTCTACCTACCGATTTACAGTGATAATCACTAAGTAGATTTCAATTTTTTCATTGAAATCAGTCAGTCTTTCTGGTGTTATGAAATCTTCTAGCTATGCTTTTCATATCACCATTTTGAAGAGTTCATGTTTGCTTTCCTATTGTCCCTGCACACACACACACACACGCACACACACACACACACACACACACACACACACACACACACACACACACACACACACACACACCACACACACACAATTGTGTTCCTCCTACCTTGTAGTATTTGACTTGACAACGGGGTTCATCCGGGTCCCACTTTACCGACAGATGCTCCGACGAGGGAGTTATCTTCAAATTCTTTGGAGGATTAATTTTCGCTGAGGAAACATGTAGTAATCATCACGACAGAAAATCATTAGGATAAACAGATGCATATTTGTGAAACTTTTAACTGATGTTACTTACTTATGCTATGTGGATCAAACACGTAGGGGTCAGAGTCCGTCTCCCCGTATTGAGTTTTTGCTCTGACTTTAATTGTGTATGAGTTAAAAAAGTACATATAATCAAGTATATCATCTGCCAAACGTGTGGAATTGTGTGTGCAGTTCACTCCTTGCGACTTGCAGATTTCCACCGAGGAATTGCTACAGAAAGAAAAAAATATGTATTAAAACTAATAATTTAACAGCATTTAATTGGCTAAATGAAGACGTGCTTAACGTACTTAAGAATGGTGTAGTTTGTTTGTGAAGAATCCATATGATGCTCCCATGAACATGTGAAGAGCTTAGGCACGCCGTTGGGCTTATTTACATCATAATGCAAGACACATGTGATATTTTTAGGCTTTGCTGCAAAGAAAAAAAAACACGTAAAGACTGTAATGTCATGGCAGAAATGACAAGCAATACTAATCAATAAAATATAGAAGATTTTTTTTTACAATATGTCCTTATAGTGACGCCTCCTAAGAGCTGATCCCCATAAGAGCTGTGACACTGCACAGCTGCGCTTGATTGAGTGAAGTTTCTCAGTGACAAGACAGTGTGTGTTGCGTTTATGGTTTTTGACAGGCTTTCACTGATGTGTTTTCCGTTCAGCATCCAGAAGACTTTGCCGTGATTTGAACAGGACGTTTGGCACACTATCTCAACACTGGAGTTCTGTTCTACGTACAGATCTTTAGGGTAAACGTCACAGATCACATGAGGGCCTGCAGGAAATAAAAATGGAAGGAAAAGTTCACTCATTGTCATGATTCCCATTAACTCTTTAGTTGTTTGCACTAAGCACCCAGCCTTATGTCTCACTGTGTTTTTGAAGAAGGTTTTGAATAATTTCTTGACTTTCCTTTGAATATTATATTTTGAATCCCTACTTGTTTATCTCACCCTGGATTTAATTAGTCTCCTTTTTTTTTTCGAAAATTGTTGGTCTAAATCAGAGCAAAATACATTAATGTTTACAGTGGTAACAGGAAAAAACGTAAGCAAGCCCAACTGATGGGAAGACTTTTGCAAATCACTGTGTTACATCAACAACATATGAAATACTAATCAAACATTAAACACCAATTCCTAATTCTGGGTCAGTACCAAAGCCTCCCAAGTCAAATACATTATTGGTAATAATTGCAAAAATTAACAATAAAAACAAAAATTTCTCTAAGTAGGCACTGTAACTAAGCTTATACTTTTACAAAAACGAATAATTCTCTAAGTAATTAGTGTAACTAAGCTCATAATTTGATTTATTTGTTCACCGTCTTTGCACTCAGATTTGCGTGACACTAAGACAGACTATTTTAAATATGACTCTGCCTTTCACTTTCATTTGAGTTCCTAAGACGGAGCTTTGCTCCTGGCTTCTGGGAAACGATACAGACTCACCCTCAGGGGATTTACATCACAATAGAAATCTGCTAGATTCTACGACAGAAAACAATAATATGAGCGGTGGCAAATAAAACTCCACTGTGTGTGAAGTTTCTTTTCCTACTTTTCTGACCTTTGTGTTTACTCCTGGTCAGCTGCCAATAGCAATGGAAAAAGCAGCTTCATTAGTTTTTGGAAACTAAGAGTTTGCGTGGATCATTTCCAGTTCAAGTGACTCAACTTTGCCTGTTGCAGCTCCATGAGCAAATCCCCTGCAGCCCCTATATTAATATTCAAGCCTCTAGAAAGTTTAAATATGTGTCATGTTATAACCAGGCTTCAATGTATCTTATTGGGATTTCACATGAAAAAAAAACAAACAACAAAAGGCAGCCAATCCTTGTGAAATAAACACAAATATAAAAATGTAGTGTGGATTTACCCCCTATTAATCTGATGCATCTGAATAAAATTAATTGCAAATTCAAACTGAAGTCACCTGATTTCCAGTTCAAGTGACTCAACTTTGTTGCAGTTCCATGAGCAAATCCCCTGCAGCCCTTATATTAATATTCAAGCCTCTAGAAAGTGTCCTGGCCTCAAAGAATCAGACAGATCAGAGATGTTGTGGAAATCTTAAAGCAGAGTTAGCTTACAAAATAATATGTAAAAGCGCTGTTGTTAAGAGACAAGCACAGCTTGGAGACGCAAACCCCCAAAAAGCTTCACAGCAGTTTTGCCAAGAAGACACTGACTCATTATGTATCACCTTTTGAGATTTTCCTTTGAAAAAGTATTTCTAAACTACAGGTGATCAAGATTTTCACTCCACTTCAGATTATGAGTATTGCAGCTATGAAATCAAATAAAAACAAAAAACATAAAATGTAAAACATGAAAACTGGCAAGGAGCTTAGAATGAGATGCAGCTGGTAGATATTTCTTTGTAAAAACGCCAGCACACAAAAGGAAACTGATATTTGATATTTGAATATGAGATAGATAGATAGATAGATAGATAGATAGATAGATAGATAGATAGATAGATAGATAGATAGATAGATAGATAGATAGATAGATAGATAGATACGAAAGGAATGAAAGAATGCATCTTTATTTATCAGAAACGCGGAGTGAACATGAAACCAATAAAGAAAAACCACACACACAAACGGGTTTCCCCCCAAATCTGTCAAACGACTTGTCATCAATTTTTTTAATGATTTGTGTTTTAAACGTTTATTTTTAACTAAAACACGCAAAATAAATAAATAAAAAAAAAAAAAAAAGTTTTTCCTACCTTTGAAAGAGTCGCAGCAGGAGAGAAAGAGAGCCGCAACCACAAAAATCGAAAACAGGGACATATACATAATTTCTCCTTATGTCCAGTTCTCGTGGAAATCGTCGGTAAAGAACTATAACAATAAAAGAGACAAAAGCAGTTGAGTCACATGTACTGAGGCTGTTACAACAGACTGCAACCGTCCACCGACGCGCATTTACTCCACCCGCTCTCAATGTCAGCTAACAGGAACTGAAGCAAACCCTGAAATAAACGGGAGGCATTACCTAACTGGAAACGCTGCAAAGGATAAAGGGAAGTGAAGCAACTTGCGGGCAGCTTTCAAACACTTAAGATAAGACCATCCTCACCCCATTTTCTATTGTATGAATCACATTTGACTTTCTCTGATATACTAATAATACATCTTACTTGCCTCGCGCAGCTATATTTGGATGCAAATTAAATGCGGGGAAAACATTGAGACATCGGAGCAATTGAGTTCAGACTATATTCTTTGCTGGACAAACAGAAAACAAATGGGTCATTTTATGCACTCCAGTAAAGCTTTATACGCTGTTTATTCACCCCATTTAACTTCTGCATTGCAACATGACACTCAGCAATGTTCCAAATTGAACACACATGTTTGATGGTTAGACTCTGGCTGAGCTTGGAACTGGATTATTTTCCTCTGTAAAGTTGTAGTTCGAGTTAAAACCTGTTAGAGATGTTAATGACCAACTGTCATTAACACTCCTCCAAATGAAGCTTAGAGAAAATATATCAGTTATTATCAGTCATGTCATTATGGAGGCCCAAGAGTCAATTCCACTGTCAAGACTTAAGCTCTGAAGGTTAAACTTGATTAGAACAATAGAAAAAACGTTAATATCCTCATGAAACTGATCCGTCTGCGAGATATGAGTCAGTGATTCCTGTTATCTCACACCCTCACTGAAGCGTTACATCAAGCAAACCTTTGAAACGTTAATGTCTTACTGTTGTTCTTATAGCTGTTGCTTTTGAGCGTCAGTTAGCTGATAGCACAAGTAATACTTCTTTTTTCAGCTTTAGCCTCGTAATGGCAGCAACAGAGGTTAAACTCTCCTTATTTTTTCAAATTTCTTCTGAAACTAGTGCAAAAAGTATCAATAATGCGGTGGTTTTTAGATCAGTTTTGTGGTTGTCTTTGTAATTCTCGAATAGGTGTACATACAGGGCAAATTGTACACTTAAGCATTTATTAATATAATCATTTGGTTCGGTTATAGTCTATTCATTTAACTTTTTATTTTAAGTAGTAGCGTATAATGTTATGATAAAGCATTTGTTTGATATGACTAGTACTTAAAGTACAGTGTTCATTTTGTGAGTTTTTTTAAACGAAAAACTGTTTTTTTGAACAATAGTTTCGCCCCATTCACAAGTCAACAAGGCAAACTGCGCGCTGTGTGGGCGGAGTTTGAACTCCAGTGTACTGCTGCGATCCAGTGGAGACACCGCGGTAGGGAGTCATTTCATACAGTATGCACAAATATGTCACCCTATATCAGGATTGGTAACAATGTTTTTTTTTTTAAACCATTATGAGAATATAATAATAATAATAATAATAATAATAATAATAATAATAATAATAGCTCCCTCAAAATTCACAAAAAATCCCTCTTACTGGCCTGATCCAAATAGAATATCATCTGCAAAATGCAAAGATGAATCCTGAGGATCTTAACCCAGACAGCCTCCTCTCTATGACTGCACTCCCAGACTCTGTCCATGAACCATGTGACAAATGACAGTCCTGCCATAGACAAAGTAACACCAGAAAAAGTTTACTTTGTCCAAAAACGTGAACAGAGCCCTTCTTTTGATTCACATGAGGGAAACTCCTCCCTTACTACTTATTAAAAGTTCTACCCAGATTTTGTCCCGGCTGACTGCTAAGGAAGTGTACTTAAATGGTTGTGACCCGGAAGACTTACACAGAAATACTCTTTTTTGTTTGTTCGTTTGTTTATTTTATTTTATTTCTATTCATACTATGTTTTGTGAAAAATATTGTTAAAAATATTGTTAATTAGCTCACTTTTTTCAATATCATACTTAGTATAAAAATACGACACTACAATTTGCACGTGCCATAATCCGCATCATAGACACTATCATTTCCGGGGTAAATTTGTAACTTGTATAGATAACATACCTTGTCGTCCTTGATAACCGGCCCATACATGTCAACGGCAGTGTTAATAGCCGCTGTTGTTGGCGGCGGGGTTCTGCTCCTAATGCGCCGTCTCTTCCCCCGGCGGAAAGCAGTAAAGCTGCTCCAGTATCCGACCGACACCATGCGTGGAAAGACTGTGATAGTGACTGGGGCTAACAGCGGGATAGGGAAGGCCTTGGCCGGGGAGCTGCTGAAGCTTCGCGCCCGGGTCATCATGGCCTGCCGGGACCTGCGGAGCGCCGAGGACGTAGCCCAGGACCTGAGGAGCCAAGCCGGGCCAGAGCAGGGGGAGGTGGTCATCAAGCACCTGGACTTGGCTTCCCTCCGATCTGTCCGGAATTTTTGTGAGGAAATCAACAAGGTAACAATGTGGATAGATGTTTTTTGGTTTATTTACCAGCTGGCTTCCAGTACAATCCATCTATTGTTGTGTTTTGTTAGTGTTGTTTGGTCCAAAAGGAGCACTGTCCGTGGTGCTGAACAAAAGATTGACAGGGATCCGCTTATTTACTTACACATCAGAATTATTTCATTAACATAGACCAGTAAAACAGTCACGCAACCTTGTTTCTGATAAATCTAAAAGTTTAACATAAAATAAGGGATAAATGATTCTGTGTATATTCATCATGTCTGATCAATACACACATAAACAATATAAGAACTGACCATTTAACTGATATGAGTCAGCAATTACTTTCCAGCAGAGAGCAGAATCCCGTTAATTATGACAAATTGTTGACTTTCTGATGGAGAAAACCAGACCCACGCCCTGCCTTACCCCACAGCTTTTCTTAGTCTGAAAACATCAGGTGTACATATGATATTTTTGTAGTATTTACTAAATGGACTTTGGGATCATTAAGATTTTTATTTTTATTTTATTCTTTTTTTTTTTTATTTTTTTGAAAATGTGAGATGGTCTTTGTCTTCTTTTTTGCCCAGTCAGTTTCCTGTTCAATTTATTCAGGTTATTTGCAGTTGTTTATTGATTCGAAACATTTAATTGTGACAAAAAGGGGGTAAAAGATAAGAAAGATTAAGGTGAGTATACTTTCTTTTTGGCCACTGTACTCTAGTGTAATTTATATCACTTTTCTTTCACTGGACAGTAGTTGCCTCTCTTCGCCACTAGATGTCGTCAAATCTCAGTTTGTGGTATTTAAGAAAATAGTATTTCTTCATTTTATTTAATTTGGAAAATGTATACGTTAAGCTTACAATACCCACCATGATATCTACTAAAATTAAATTAATAAAATGAATAAAAATGTAAAATACAACGTGTTCTAGAAATAAGTAATAGTACTGGAATTAGAAGTAGCCTCAAGCCCTCTTCACCTACACTTCCAGTACCAACAGTCTAATTTAGGAAAAACTATAAATAATATGTATTTATTGCATACTTGTTAAGATCTAAATAATCTGAAATTGTAAAATCTAAAATGTTTTCTATGTTTTTGTTGTCAGGAGGAACCTAAGATTGATGTGCTGGTCAACAACGCCGGGATCTATCAGTGTCCCTACACGAAGACAGAAGATGGTTTTGAGATGCAGTTTGGAGTGAATCACCTGGGCCACTTCCTCCTCACTCACCTGCTGCTGGACCTCCTGAAGGCCTCGTCTCCCAGCCGCATTGTCGTCGTTTCCTCCAAACTCTACAAATACGGCCACATCAACTTTGACGACTTGAACAGCGAAGGGAACTACGATAAAGCTTTCTGCTACAGCCAGAGCAAGCTGGCCAACCTGCTGTTCACGCTCAAGCTGGCTCATCAGCTCGAGGGCACGGCGGTCACGGTCAACGCCCTCACCCCGGGGATGGTGAGGACCAGGCTGGGCCGCCACGTCCAAATCCCTCTGCTGGCTAAGCCGCTGTTCCACCTTGCCTCGTTGGTCTTCTTGAAGAGTCCGTTGGAGGGAGCCCAGACGCCGCTCTATCTGGCGTGTTCCCCCGAGGTGGAGGGGGTGTCGGGGAAGTGCTTCGCTAACTGCGAGGAAGAAGAGTTGATGGCCAAAGCTACAGACAAACAGGCGGCCAAGAAACTGTGGGACATAAGCAGGAGGATGGTTGGACTCGCAGAGTGACCACGGGGCCAGTTCTGAGGACCGGACTGTTAGGGAATTAAGTGTTCTTGGACGACTTTGTTAATCCACTTCTGCTTGCAGAATTCATTGTGCAAGAGATGGGTTGTGAAAAATCCTCTTTTTTCTTTTTTTTGGTCCTCCCTGAGGATGAAAACTTTAATGGAAAAACATGTTGTGCCTCTGAAATGGGATAATTAGCAGACTTTGTGCTACATTACAGAACTGATTAGATCTCATATTGTGATTTTAATTTTAAGAGGTGCCTGTTCAAGTAAAGTTTTAAAAGAAGTTTTGCCATAATTTTTTTCATCCAGATAACTCTCACCTCTTTATTTGTGGGGAAGTTAAAAGCAGGGTTAGGTTTTATAGTAATATCCCAGGCTTTTAACTTCTCACAGAGCAGCTCAATCTGTCATCTGAAAATGGAAAGAACATAAAAATTCACAAGAACTGACCATTCAACTAAGCTGACAAAGAATCATTCAGTGAAACAGCCAGGAGGCTTTAATAAATCTGGAGGAGCTGCGGAGATCCGAAGCTTTAATGGGAGAATTTTCCAACAGTACAACTGTTAGTTGTGCTCTCCAAAAATCCAGACTTTTTCACAAAGTGGCACAGAAAAAACTGGGAGATACAAACCCTGCATCATGCTCTGCTCTACTGTGACGGCCTATCATATATAATCCATATTAAATACAACAAACAATCTGGCTCTGGTTTGATAAAATGTAGAAAAGAACATGAATACTTTAAAATAACTGCAGCAAACGTTTCAGTGCAATAAAAGATTTAAAGATACCGTCAGTCTAACTATACATTGCTGAGGATAAGATATTTTGTTCCTATATAACATGACCTTATCAAAGTTCGGAAGCAGACGTCAGGATCAAAGGAACTGGACTCGGTGCGCTCATGAAAGGCGAGCTGAGCCGAGCTGTCACATTTACCTCAACGGCGACGTCTCATTACTGCTTGTGCTCCTCAGATCCTCAGCTGAGTCTTTGTGTGTGCTCAAGTTGTGCGCAGCTTCACCCCGATTTTGCACTGCAAAGCAAGAACAAGCTGAAGGTGGCTGTTTGAACTGATCTCCCCTTAGTGCATTTTTAAGCTTAAATGTTTTTCTGCCACGTCTGTTGGAAGGCTGACGCTGCACCGTGGCGCCCTCTTGTGGATGGATTCAAACTTTACAAGTAAATAACTCTTTTTTTTTTTTTGAATCTCTGCAGGAAGGCCGCCTGAAAGGACATCCATCAACAAGAACAATGAAACTGCTGAACCACAGAAGCGATTAATTTACAAGGCTGCTACTTTAATGAGTTGTTCTTGCCCAAACCAAATCAGCCCCATCAGTCGCTATCACACAAGCCGTTTTAAAGCAGGTTGTTCAGTTGTGAATATAATGTAAAATTTAGTTCTGGTACAACAGAATGAATGTTCCCTTTAAGTGCTAAATAAAGACCATTGACGCCAACTAAACATATCTTACAGTATCTGTTTTTCATTTATGTATCTATTGTTTAGATCAATAATTTAGGAGAAAAATGTGGACATATATTTAGTTTATAATATGCTTAGAACATAAAACACACTGATTGGAGCTAAAAAGTTGTGCATGCTTATCCTTTTTCACTGCTTGCGTTATAAATAATTTAGTCTGTCCAGTTTTACCAGCAACAAATCTTGCCGCAATAAACTAGGTTGGTGCCTAGGCGCTGCTTAGTCAGAAATACCCTCATGAGCTTTTCATTTTTAAATCAGAAAAGCACATTTCGGATTTAAACATCTCAGGTAAATCAATGTTGCCTTGGAAAAAAACAAACAAATCATGGACTGCTACGTCCTCGTTAGCCAAAACAAACGACAAATGCAATATGATTTGTGTCCCTTTCAAGTGCTGAAATCTGAAATGTGTTCATGTCCTTCTAATCAAGCGTCTGCGTAATAACTCAGTGCCAGTAGTGGGAATGGCACTGAAAAGTTTCCATTTATTTTTATTTATCTTCTTAGATTTGCACATTGAAAGTACAGTGTATTTTCTTAGGGTTGTATGCGATAGAAAAATGGTGTATAATTTAAAGTAGGAGGGAGGTGATATTTTTTTGTTTTTTACAAATGGAAAATCTTTTTTACTTTGATAAACTCATGATGGTGTTGGCAGCATGACAGCAGCACACTTAGATTTAATTCCTCAAAAACAAAATTGAAGTTCGAGGGATATTAATACATTTGCAAGGCTCTGTGTGCACCTGACAGGAATATAAATTACCGGGATCTGTCCGTGAATAACACAAAAATAACTTTCCTCTTCGTGTCGAGTTTGCTGATCTTGGCAAAAATCCATCCCTGCAACCCTATTTTTAAATTTACTACAATGATAAAGCTGAGCTTCATGGTGACTCAGCATGGACGTGCCACACTGCTGCAGGAGCCTGAACGATAAAAAGACTCTCTATGGGTTTGGACGGCTTCACCCTGATCAGAAAACAAATAAAAATCGAACTGTTGTTGCAGTCCCTGTGAAAACGGAGTGATGTTCATGTCTTTTTTCAGGCACCCACACTTGATGTTATAATTTGTGCTTTATTAAGAGAACAAAACAACAAAGTATATGACCATGCATCATTGTCTAAGAAACAAACTTACAGAGGCTTAGGTGGGTGTGGGCGTCCAAATCTGAGGTAGAACGGGGGGGAGGGGGGCATGAGAACCTCTCGAAGAGACAACAGAAGTGCAAAAAAAATCTAATAAATAAATACCGACCGCTAAGACAGGTGTTTACATCTCAAAACGTTCCATCAACAACAAGAAATCACACCCATCAATACTGCTAGAAATCAATTAACGGAAGAGTAATGTTCGTTTGTCTTTTAAGGAATTAATTCGGAATCAATTTCTTCATTAAACAGCTCCTCAAAAGGCCGAGATCGTTTCAGCGGATTAAAAACAACGGCCGAAACGAATCTGTGTGCGGCTCATCTCGACTCAAATCTGAGCTCCCAGACATGGCACTGGCAGTTTTTAAATTTATTTACAACTTGCAGGATTATCAATAAAGAACTGCACTTTTCGAATAAATTTGTTGCTAACAACTACTTATAAAATATATCACTCAATTCTTAGTTATTATGCTTTTTTTTATACATTTGAAACGTAAATACGTACACATTCCTATACATTTTAAAATGTCATAAACTCCTCTCTGCCTGTTTCCACCTTAGTTGTGGCTAACTTCTCCCCCCAAAAATATTTGCGATCCTCTGTCGCGTAATCATCTCTCCTAAATGATCTCCACTAGGTTCATCTTTGTGAACCATTTGGCTCCTGGCTGCTTTTCAAACCATTTCCAGCTAAATGGTAGCAGCAACATAACCCAAGTGCACCAAGGCCTTGTGTGTTTAGTCGAATCAAAGGTTTCAACCTCATTTAAAAGTCCTTCAGTTCAGAAGGGTTCCGTAAAGCTGGGCTTTTGTGAGACTGTCCTTCCTTGAAAGCCCCAAAGAGCCAAATTTTTGGTTGTAAGGAGGAGGAGGCGGTGGAGTCGGCGGCGGCTGCTGGCTCGCCTGCGCTGGCATGCTGTGCATCTCAACCTGATAGTGCTGCAGCTCTGCGGCCATCTCCAGGGACCTCTGATGGAGGGACTCGGTGGAGCTGTTGGGACTGGGGTCAACGTACTCCGTGCTCTGGCCTCCAGCTGCAACGTTGCCCTCCCTGTCTTTGGAGCTCCCTGAGTGGTAGAGGCTGTGCTCTGACCCCTGGCTGTCCTCACTCTGGTACAGATGGGCTTGGCTATGTGCTTGCCGCAGTCCAGGGCTGCATTCGGGGCTGGTGGCGACCCACACCGGGTCCATGGCATCTGCGCCGTGATGGTAGTAGTCAGCCCCCTCCTGGAAGCTGCTGTACAGCGGACCAAGGCGGATTTTGGCGGGGCGGACAGAAAAGTGCTGCTCTGAGAAGCTGTAAGGCGAGGCTCTGCCTGGACTGCAGTACGAGTGGGCGCTTAAGTCTTCAACACTAAGCTGTCTCCATCTACCAATCAGTTCCTCCTCCTCGGGGGCTAAAGTGCTGCCTCGGCGACTGTCTCCGTAAGCGACACTTGGGGAGGAAGATGGAGGCAGAGGCTCGTACGGCTCACTGAAACAGGAGGACATGGTGCGGCTGTAGACCGGCGAGCTGCCGTTCTGATGGTGGCCCAGCTCAGTCTGTTGGAAAGGGTGAGTGTTCCCAAAGCTCCCTGGACTGTCCCTCTCCCAGGATGAGTCACTCTTTCTCTCATAGTCCCCTGCATCTCTCCATTCCATGTAGAGCGATTGATGACGCGGTGAGGAAGCTGCACTGCTGGGTGGGTCATTGCCTTTGTCTTCCGAGCCACCTCCACTGAAGCTGGAGTAAGAGCTGGAGCCTCCAGCTAACGCTGCAGGGAACTTGGGGAAATGCTCCTGGGAGAAGCCAGCCTGCAGTCCCACAGAGCCCTCCTCCGGTGTGCTGTCGGTGGAGTTCTGCGGTCCGTACAGGAACGTCCTGTGGCCGTGCACGTCCATGCTGGGCCTCCTCTCGCGGTGACGGTCGTCGGGGCAGTACAGAGCCGTGTCGCTGCTGTACAGGTCGGATTTGTAGGCCGCTCTGAGCCCCAGGCGCTCTCCTGGCCCGAGTCTCTCCAGAATGAACGTATGGTTCTGGGCTTGGGGGCTGGGGGAGCGGGACGCCTGGCTGCTGCTGCAGGCCTCATCTGGCTTTTCAAGCACGTTGGCAATGAGGGAAGTAGAGTCAGGGTAGTCGTGGCAGAGAGGAGACTCTTCCAGATGCATGGTCAGGCGCTCCTGAAAGTCAGCAGGAAGCTGCAAAAATTCAAAGGAAAAGAGACATTCAGAGGAGTATATGGGATAGATGTGTCCGGCACTCATGTATTGAGATGGTTCTCAATTATGAAGTCAGAAAACTTGGAACACAAATAATATTTAGTCTCCTAACACCCACTAGAATTGTTATAATTAAAAAGTCTATCATGCTGAGCATATTAACAACTCCTTCAGGTTTGCTGGAGGTCACACTGAGTAATAAGCATGGAGTTATTGCCATCAGGCTTTCGGGATCACGTTGTCGAGTCGGTAATGTTCTGCATCATTCTGGTGTGTGCAGTTTTCCAAGGTGAGCTCAGTTTGACGTTGCTAATAAATCATATTTCTAACAGTTTTTTTCACCCCCTCCGGCACTCGAAAGTGCTTCCCCCTATAGAGCACCTCCTGAAAGAGCTCTCCGTGAATATCGACAGAACACCTTTTGGTCCAAACAAAATCAATATTTACATTTTTCCTTCTGTAATGAATTTCCTTTCGTGGAGGTTTCAGATCTTTAAAACATCCTCGCTGTACAAAGCACATCTTTTATCAAAGTAGCGGCATCCTAAAAGCAAACTTTTAAACAGCTTAGCCATCCATGCGCACCCTAGTGAAGTTGGTATCTTTCATAGATCTTATTCAAATACACATGCCGTTAGAAGAAGTGTGAGAGTTTGGCATTGGATTTTCCATCTTTGGCAATATAATGTCCTTTGTCACCAATGAATCAACAGTTGGTGTATTGGAACCAGAGCCAGACCCTCTGGGTTGGCCTGATGACCAAATGTTCCCCAACATTTCCCTCACAGATGTCAAGATAATTTAAATAGACCTCTCTAACCTGGCTCATCCTAAAACTGCCAACTCATATGGTCAGAGGTTTGCATCCAGTCATCATAAATCTGGCAATAATGTCGCATTAATTTGAGGTTTGTCATAATTTGTTTGAATTGTTTATTTTCCAGTGTGGAATGACTGTGCTGTACACAAATGTCATGATTCTTGAATATGGGAATTGGGAGCATAATTTTGAATTTATCATCTAAAAAAGGATCCTAATTATCCATACAGGTTCAAAATTATACATACGACCCCCACTAAAACTCGGCATGTCTTTGCGATCTCCGTCTTGCAACTCCTGCAGCCACTAAGACGTAGAAGGCATCGTTTGGAACAAAAAGGTTTTTTGAGTTATTATTGGGAAGTATATGAATAACTCTATTCTTTTTTTCAGCTGTTATTAAAATGCAAAATGAAACAGATGAATTATTTTAGTGCTTCTGAGAGATGTTTGTCTCATTTCCCATCAGAAACCAATATTTCAGCTGAACAAAACCAGTTTTTAATCCTAAATTTGTCAGGGGTGCAGATCATTTTTTCAGAAATGAAGGAAACCAAAGGGTTTGTGAAGAAGAACTCAGAAGGGTTGACAGATCTCCTATTCTGAAGGCTTCAGCACATCTACGGTGTGTGATGCCTTCATGGTTTTGTTCTATTGTCTAGCTCTTATTCACCTCATCGCACTTCGGTACAGTCTGTCCAATAATGTGCATGAAGCACAGTTCCTCCTCAGTCTGTGTGTTTTAGCTGTAAATATGCTTGTCTTGCTGATTGCATCGACCCTCTGTAATCACTTCATCACA